CCGCCGCCAGCAGCAGCAGCAGCAGCGGCGGCAGCAGCCGCAGCGGCGGGGGCGCGAGGCCCGGACCCCGGGCCATGGCGGGGCGGAGGAGCGCAGACGGGGCGCGGGACTCGGCGGGGCTCGGCGGGCTCGGGCTCCGGCGTCCGGGACGGTCAGCGGGCGTCTGATGCCCGGCCGCTCCCTCCCACTTTTATAGTCCGCTCGACCTGCCCGGCGGGTTCCGCCGCCGACTTGCCCGCTGGTATTTGGGTGACACATCCCGCCCCCCCTCCCCGTCCCACGGAAGGCCCGGCCGGCCCTTCGCGCCGCCCGCGATAGGATCGGGGAGGGGAGGCCGCTTCCGCCTCCTCCCGACCGAAAGCCGGGGAGGGGAAAACCGATACTCACCTGCGGGCGGCTGGGGACCCGCCCCCGTCCCCACCCGGGCGCGACCCGCCCTGCGCAGCCGCCCTCCCGGGAAGGGAGTCTAGGGGGTGCCACAGTCGCGCTCTCCCCCTCCCGCACTCCTTCCAACCCCTCTCCCTCCCTCCCTTCTTTCCCAGTTCTCCTAAGAGCTTGCATTTATAAGCTTACAGTTCACAAACATTATCTCACCACCACACCAGTCCTGACAGGTATGGACTGACTATTAGACCCGTTTTATGGGTGATGCAGATGAAGCTTAGAGACCGGAAATCACCCACCATCAATTTCCTCAGATTCCTGCCAGGGGTCCTTGGTACCTGCCAGGCTGTTAGGAGAACTTAAATAATGTTTGTGGTCCCCAGTCTGAAGGGAAACTAAGGAGCAGTTCTGTTACTCTTTCTAGCACAGGTAAAGCCAGGTGTCCTGGCGTCCAATGTATCACATATTCTGTTAACACTGATTTTCTGTCCACAGGCACGCACACATGTAATGTATGCAATAGGTATCAGGAGACAAAAAGGAACACATTCTTACAGAGCCAGCAAGACTGTAAGGAGTTTTTTGTTTGTTTGTTTTTTGTACAATTTGATTCTAAAAGAGCAAATCATTGCTTTTCTTTTTCTGTATCCCACATCAGTAGCTGAGCCACGGCGCATGATGAAAGAATGGAGCCTGAGAAATTTTTTGCCAACTACTGTGCGACTACTTTAATGGGACAGAGGGGTTGCAATCTCTTTTGGAATCACTGAGAAAGTCCAGAGTTTCAAAGCGATGGTAAAATTAACAATAATTAGCAAGCTATAATTATTCCCAGGTCCTCCATCAAAGCACATTTTATATATTCAGCATTTAATGTGTACTACCAGTAGCGCAAGGGTGTTGTTTAGCAGATGAAAGCCAGCTGGGCCTCTGTCCCATTAATTTTCAAGCAGTTCCTGAGGTAGGTAGATTGAAATATGTTATTCTGCCTTTACAGATAGAAGTGGAGACGTGTGAGGGACAATTTCTTACACCACAGACACACACAGTTGTCGGGATGCTCCTCTGCTCTCTGTGCCCTCTGTCTCTGTTCAGGTCTTCCCTGAACAAGTAGTCTAATCAGGTTCTTTTCCCCTCTCCAATCTCAGTCCACCCTGCCTGAAGAAAGCTTTCTAAATCACAAATCTGTGCCCATCTCCTGTCTGCTAAGAACCTCTCAAGCCCAGAGTGTGGGGGTGCCCTTGACTTTCAGGATAAAATCCATACTTCTTATTAGCACTTAAGATAATTCCTATACTACCTTATAGGCAAACCAATTTCTCTGTCCCTTAGTTTCCTCATCTGTAAAGTGGGAATAACAAAAATACCTACCTTACAAGGTAGGTGTGAGAATTAATGTAGATAAACCATTTCAAAGAATGTCTGTTTTAATGGATAGATGTTAGCTGTTGTCATTCATTGTCACCACCACCACCACCACCATCATCATCCTATTCCTGTCAACTTCTCCATGTTTTCAGGCCTTTGCAAAGTCATCTACCCAGAGTCTCCCTTTCTTAATCTATTTAGTGCATAGTTGTGTTTTTCTACTCAGCTCTTGGGTCACCTCCAGGAAGCCTTCCATGATGAGATTCTGCCTACTGCACTCAAAGCTATGCCTCTTCTCTGTGCTGTCCTAATCCTGTATATACTAAACTGGCAACATTAACCTTTCTGTGCTTTTGCCCTCCCATCTGTGAAATGGATATAATAGAGTCCATGTCAAGGTTATACTGAGAATCCAAACAAAATAGATGAGACAGAAGATGGCAAGGCTTTGTAAATTCTGAGACTTTTGTGAACTCTAAGATTCCATAAACATGTTAGATTGCGTTTTTATTTTAAAAATATCCCATCTTCTCACTCTTCTAGCTATTGACTAGACAGCCCCCATAACTGGCAGAGTCACCTGCTTGACATTCCACTGGGTCCCAGGCTGGCAAGAGGAAACCTGATACAGGAGGGTTCTCAGGGCTGAGGAATGTATGTGATTGATGGTGTCACTGACTACTTAGGACAGCCCACATGGCTATGCACTTCTGGGGCTAGTGCTCTGAGGTCTCCAAACCTCTGCCTCTTCCAATTATGTTGCTGGAAGAACAGGAATAGAAGGAGCCCATCTCCATGTCCTCTGTGGAAGATGGAGTAAGCCAAAGAAGACTTCCTAATGCCCCTACCCCACTTCCTTAAACTCTGTGATTCTGCCAGACATTCCCCAAAAGGCACACAAACACCATGATGAGTCGATTAAGGAAACACAGTCTCAGCTCTGTTTCTCTCTTTTCCCTTCATTTTTTCCTGCCTAGTTTTACAAAATATCGTGCTTTATCTCTTTGTTTTTTAAAATTTTAATTTACAAATATTGAACAAATCTTTCCATTGTCTCAGGCTTGTCAAGTGTTTGTAAGATGCAAGGACCACATCTGAGCACTGTAGCCCCAGCACCAGCATATATTGGGCACTAAGTGATGTTTATTGGATTAATTGACATCGAGTTGTGCCCAGAAGGTTGCAGTACCAGTAAACTCTCCTAGGAATGTTCATATGGGTCATTTCAGTACTTGTTTCCTGGTCTGGGTCTCACCTCCTGCCCCAATCACAAATCTCTATCCCTACCCTAACCCACCCTCCAAACACCTGATTTCAAGAAAGACTGAATAATGATGCCCTGAATGTTACTTTTGCTTGTATGCATGAACATTGTGCCTATAGGGAGGAGGGATACAGTCTGAGGAGGCTGAGAACAGGCAAAGATTCTGTAAGCAAGCGTGTATTGAGGTTGAAAGAAAAATGAACTTTGGATCTAGCGAGACTTAGGCTCAAATTCTGGCTTCACATCACTCACTGCTGTGTGGTTTTGATCAAGTTGTTTCACTACTCTTACCCTCAGTTTCCTTCATTGTAAAATGGGTATAATAATGTCTGTGTTGCCCCAACATCTGTGGAAAGAATGACTTCCCACTTTGTTATTAAGAGCATGGATTTCCCTCATTGAATTTCACACTTCAGCTATTCTTGTGTTCTCTTTTATAAACTCTTGGTGATTATCTGATTCTCCTCGGTGTAAGACCAATACCAACATGTGAGTTTTACATTAAAGGGTATGATATATGAAAAACAAAACACAAAAATAAAACTGTGCTTGATTAATTAAAAATAAACAACACTTGCCACTCAGAATTATCTTAATGATTCAAGATAGGAATATAAAATACCCAACACAGTGTTTGGCATGTACTAAGTAGAATAATCTTAGCTGTTATTATCAGTCATCTCAGGAATGTGAGATCATTAAAGGGTACTGCACAAAGCCAGTGATTAAGGGATTGCTGGAGATCAAGTCCAGGGAGCTGGGTGCTAGGTAGGAGAGCTGCCTGAGAGCCCCCATCATCCCTTAACCTTCAAGATGCAGTAATATGTAAAGTATCCAGAAGCAGACAGTGCATTCGTATATTTGCTCCCATTATCTATTGGAATCCCTACAACTCTCCTTGTTATGCAGGGAAGATATTATTATCCCTATTTTACAGATGTAGAAACAAAGGCCTTGGGAGGCAGAAGGAAAGAACTTGTCCATGGTCACATGCTTCTAAGTGGGGAGGGTAGACCTAGAACCCAGGTCTCCCGACTGCGAGTGTGTATAGAAATTAACAAAGATGGAATTAACAAAGGAATAAAAGAGGTTAGAGACTCATCCCGTGTTTCTTGGGGTTTCCTTTTGTTTATTTCTCTTGCACAAATATTTTTAGAAAGTTCTGGTTTCATGAAGAATGATCTAATTGTGTAGGGCACAACCGTGAGTCTGTACCTAAAAACCCCAGGATTTATGCCACTAGCACCAGTTCCTCATATCTTAGAGTGGAAATGGTCCTTGTTGTCTCGCTTTGCTACAAATAAACAGCCCACATTTGATTCTGTACTGCCACTTATGAGACAGGGACCCTGGGCAGGTCCTTCTCTTTGGTATCTTTTTGTCCAAAGCAGGGATAATAGTTCCCTCTTAGAGGCGTCTTGAGGATCCAGTAACATGGTGTCTGTGAGGCTGCCTGGTGCTGTGCAAGGAGGTGTCCTCACTCTTCTTTGGGTCCTGACCACTGTTAGCTTCAGCTCTGTAAGGAACACCTTTTGAGCCAATGGGCAGTGCTGGATTTCCATTCCTCAGCAGGAGCTTGCAGCCCCAGGAGAAGCAGGTGACTCTTCAGCCAGAACACAGAAAATGCAGAAAGAGAAATCAACTGTGGTGATGGTTAACTCAGCAAGGTGGAAGGAGGCCCCAAGAAACACGGAACACAGAAATAATAGGAAGTTGGCCAGGGGCTGGGAGCAGGGGTGTGGAGAATGGAATAGACAAGTGGTATACAACTGTATCTTATTGTTGCATTTTTAAAAAATGTGACTGAAGAATTGCAAAATAATTCAAAGAGTCAGAGGATGGGCACACTTTCTGTATTTTCTTGTTTGCTTAAAATGTTCATAATACAAAAAGGATTTCAAATCCAGTCAATCCTTCAAAGTAAGTTTTGGAGGAAGCATAAGAGGGTAATATTTCTGCTTTTGCTTCTACTTGTCTTTTTCATTATTTAAATATAAACTTCCATTTATTGGTTACCACGTTATAAATTCCATAGAATCCCTTCAGCAATTCTACAAAATAATTACTCTTGTCCCCATTCACCTGAACAGAAAGCTGAGGCTTAAGATCACACAGTCCAGACTGGAT